ATGTGGGTGAGAGCTGGTGTCATCTCAACCAAGTCAGTGGCCCAGGGAATGGAGAGGAGAGCTTATGTGGCATTAACACGGCTTGGTGGGTGGGTAGGGGAGCGGGGCGAGATGCCAGCCCCAAGGCAGGGGGCCCTCAGAGGAGCAGACTTGGGCAGAAGGAGCTGAGGGCCCAGTTGGTGAGTTTGAGGTGCCTGAGGGGCTCCGGTGGATGCGTCCATGGGGCAGCAGACCTGCGGGGCTGTGCTGAGGCTTCCGCCTCTGTGAAGCTGGCATGTCTCCAGGATTCACTTGCAGCTTTTGCTGTGGATGTGTCTATGGCCTTGCTGCTTGAGTCAGTTCCATACATACACCCCTGAGGGGATGGGTAGGGGTACGTGCGTGTGTCACGTCCTTCCCGCTTCCCACTTCTACACAGCCCCTCCCAGTATCCCAGAGTGAAGTATTGCCATCCTAGATGGGTTGTGGGGGGGGGGGGTGGACCTGTTAGAAAGATGGAGAGCATAAAACTGGGTAGTACCTCAAATCAACCATATGAATTGCGAACTGTTAAAATTTGGCCACTATGTAAAAACCACTTTTCTCAATATCAAAACCAAAAAAGTAACACTTTGTGCATTACAGGGAGGAGCGCCCTAACTCCCTTCAAGTGGGTTTTATTAGCCGTAATGGCTTGGAGCATGTCTTTGGGAGTCGCACAGACCTGGGTTCGGATCCCACGTCTGCCACTGGCTGGCTCTGTGGTCCCAGCAAGTGGCCTGTGAGTCTCCGTTTTTTCAGGTGTAAGGTGGGGGTGGTAGCAGTTTCTACCTCTCGGGATAAATGATGTAACGCACAGGATGTCTGAGCACAGTGTTGGGTACAGAGGGACACTCCATACGTGGTACCTGTTGTTATAACTGGGGAAAGAGGCAGACGGTAGGTCAGAATACCCTGAGTGCTGAATCTCAGGAGGGTCATTTCAGAGGAGTCTGGAACGTGAGCTGGAGGTGTCCAGGGCTCCTGGGGACTGAGACCCTCATTTGACAAGTAGGGACTTGAACCAAGGAACCTGACCTGTGGGGCCCATGGTCACCCAGCGATCACACACACACACAAAAAAACTAGCCTTGGAGGTCTTTGTGAGCAAACACGAGGCGGCATTATTATGAAGGTTCATTTTTAATAAGAGAGGATGACAGAAGCATCTAAAATCATCAAGATCAAGGCTTCACATCCCTGTAATGACATTTCATGCCTGCAGAGAACTTTATTTTCTCAAAGAACTTTCTGTTTTTAAAGAACAACTGTCTTTAATCAAGAGAATTCTTCCTGAAGAAATTTTTAAAAAGTAAGTTCTTCTTATGCTGAAGACTGGGGTCAGCAGGCTGGAGTCGGGGTGGCAGAGGCTGTGTGCCTGGAAGGAACAGAAGCGCTCCTTTCCTCCTCTCCCCTCTGCTGCTCCTCAGACCTCTGCGAGGTGTCAGCAGGGGGACCCAAAGGGCCCCGGAGGACAGTGGTCCTGCTGGCCAACTCAGAGGCACAGAGGATGGAGGTGCCCAGGAGAGAGTGGGCAGCTGGATTCATTCCCCAAGGTCGCATCAAATAGCCAAAGAATCTTTACCACTCCCTGGAATAATACGAATTCTCAGTTAAGTGATGTCTGTCTTGCTTCTTTGTCCGTTCATTCATTTTGTGTTTTTTTTTGGGGGGGGGGTAGGAGTTTATTAATTAATTTATTTATTTTTGCTGTGTTGGGTCTTCGTTTCCGTGCGAGGGTTTTCTCTAGTTGTGGCGAGCGGGGGCCCCTCTTCATCGCAGCGCGCGGGCCTCTCACTATCGCGGCCTCTCTTGTTGCGGAGCACAGGCTCCAGACGCGCAGGCTCAGCAGCCATGGCTCACGGGCCCAGTCGCTCCGCGGCATGTGGGATCCTCCCAGAGCAGGGCTCGAACCCGTGTCCCCTGCATTGACAGGCAGACTCCCAACCACTGCGCCACCAAGGAAGCCCGTTCATTCATTTATTCAACAATTATTTCTTAGGCCCCAGCTGGGAGCTGTGACTCCAGACGTGGATCAGCTGTGAGCCCCACTTTCGGGAACCCCCAGTCTGGGAAGAAACGATGTGAAACCCAGGGTGAGCTGGACTCTGATGGGGAAGCCCCAGGGTCTGTCGGAGCCCAGGGGAGACCCTACACCCTGCCTGGAGGCAGGGGTGGGCAGAAGAGGAGGGGTGAGCCTCGTGAAGAAGGGAAGTAAGGGCGATCCTGGCAGAGGGAGGCACGTGGGCAAAGGCTTGGAGGTGTGAAAGCAAGATGTCTGTGAGGCCATTTTTGCCAGTGGTTTGTCAAGGAGAGGACTGCTGGGGAGGGCAAAGGGTGTCCCACAAAATGTTCACGGGTTGTTTGGAAAGTGATGGGGAGCCATGGAATGTTCCCTCCCAAAGTGACTGTCTGATTCATGCGTGGGCCTCCACTTGCTTAGCTCAGTTTCCAGAGGCTGCGAGACATCCCTGGCTGGAGTCCAGACAAACGGGATCTCACCCCACCAGCCCATCCTGGCTGCACAGACACCACAGTCTCAGTGAGCAGCTGTCCTCCATGCCACCATCACCCACGTGCAGCACTTAACAGTTTGTGAGATGCTTTGAGGATATCCACTCCTAGGCCCCCACCTTCTCTCCCTCACACCTTGCACGTGGTTTTGTCCATTTCGGAAATCTACTCATACTTGGTGCCCAATTCTAGGGTCATGTGCCCTGGGAGGCCTTCCTGACCACCCCTGGGGCAGAAATGACCACCTCTTTCTCTGCCACCTCCTTCAGTGCATACCTGGGGGGCTTCTGAGTGTGTGTCTCCAGCCCCCTCCTCCTCTGCTCCCTGACTCCTAAGCCCAGACCATGCATGATCTCCTCCTGGAAGGAACCACTTTTTCTCTGCACGCCCTGAAGGGGCAGGCTAGGGACTGGACTTGGTGTGAGTGAGTGAGAACTGCCTCTGGGATCTGGGGGGTCACAGTCTAAAAGGCCACCACCCTGCTTCCATTTCCTCCTTGATCTGGGGGGACAGAGCCTGGAAGAAGAATCCCCTGCTACCGTCAAGCTTGGGAGGCACCTGGCCAGGGGTGAGAGGCCCCCTGACGAACAAGCACATTAACGGGCATTGTTTCTAGTTGGTTAGAGCCCCTGAAAGGACCTGCCCTCCTGCCCCAACTCACCTTTCTTGTCCTGTTACCTAACGCACAAGAACTTTCTCCCCCAGAAACCCGAAGCCACACCACTGGGAGGAGGGCAAAATAAAGCCTGATAGCAGGGTCTCCCAAATTAAGCCACCAGCTGGAGCAACCACCTGGAAGGAAATGTCTGGTGTGATGGGGGGTAAGGCTGGCCTTCTCTGCACGTGGGGGACCCCTTGTCTCAGCCAGCAGGCCAGTGCCAAGCTGTTTGTGGTATGAAGTCAGAGTGGGAGCGAGGTGGCTGGACAGATTCAATTTTCCAGGGCTGCGGAGACTGCCTACAGAAGGTTGTGTGAGTGTGTGTGTGGTCACGTGTCTGTGTGTGAGAGGCTGCGTGCTTGAAGTGTGTGAATGTGTGTGAGGATGTATGTGAGTGCGTGTATGAGTGAGAGCATGTATGCCTGAGGGTGTGTGTTGGAGGGTGTATGTGAGTGAGTGAGTGTGTGTGTGTGTGTGTGTGTGTGTGTTGGGGGCAGGATGGGAGCTGGTGGGGAGAGGAAAGTTGGGTGTGGGCTGGTGCAAGCAGAGTGGACAAAAAGAGGAAAGTCTTGTCTTTCAGGCAGGCCTGGAGAGCAGGAGAAGAAAAAAGGAGCTCTTATTGGTGGTTGTCAAGGAGATGGGCCTTGGGGTTTGCTGAACTTTCTTCCCTTAAAGCGTCCTGCCTGGGGCTGAGAAGGGCCATTTATTTCCAGCCTCACCTCCCAGGCGGGGGTCTCAGGTCTGAGTCCCAAAGGAGTCAGGTGTAGACTCCAGGCCAGGCCAGAGCAATTCTTGGGTGGAAAGACCTGAGGCTTGCTCTGCCTGACCCCAGCCCACCATCCCGCGGCTCTGGCACTCGGAGGCCCTAGGCCTTGCATTCTGGGGCTGGGGCGTGGGAAGGGGGGCGGTGGTGGTGGGCATCAAACTTTGCTGGGTAAGAGGTCAGCCCCAAGATGGGCTGCGCTGGCCAGGACTGACCGCAAAGCAGACACGGAGTTTTCCTGGCGTCCCTCCAGACGTGGATCCTGCGGCACTCCTATGACAAGCACGTTTATAGGCCATTGTCCTTTGGGGAGTGGTAAATAGTTCATTTGTGGGTTTTTTGTTTGTTTTTTTAACATCTTTATTGGAATATAATTGCTTTACAATGTTTTGAACGTAAATTTTTAAACGGATCTTCAGGATTTTTTCCTGTCTGGCTTCTTCGCCGCTGCATTGCCAGAGACTGGCACACAGTAGGTGCTCAATAAACATTACCGAATGGACAAACGGGCAATTCTAATTTGAGCGATTTGCGTTTCTTTCACTACAAATGGATGCCGCTGGGCCTTTCTCGACCTCCGAGGGAGGGTTGGCAGGCCCCCTCCTCTCCCGTGTGTGTGTGTGTGTGTGTGTGTGTGTGTGTGTGTGTTAGCACGCGCGCGCGCGCTGGTGGGTTGATGGGTACTGCCCCCAAAGGAGCGGCCACCCTCGACGACAGGGGCTGGGGGGCGCGGGTGGGGGGGCTGTGATCCAGGGACAGAGGGAGGGAGAAGCCTCAGAGGCAGCTCCAGCCTGGCCTAGACCGCGTACCCCACGGCCTAGCGATCCGGCCCCTACCCCCCACCTGCCGCCCGCCCCGAGAGGAGGGGGCGCCCCCAGATGCCCGGTCCGACCCCCGCCCCGCCCCGCCCCTCCCTTCCCCTCCCCCCGCTGGCTGGGGGCCGGCCCCCATTGGCCGGCCTCTCACGGAGCCCTGCCCCCGGCAGCAGCGGGCCAATGAGCGCGCGGCTGTCAGCTCGTCAGCCGCGCCGGCTCGGAGACTGTGAGCCCGAGCGTTGGCCGCGGAACCAGCAGCTACGAGCGCTCGCCGAGCGGCCGGTCGGTGGGGTCCTCGCGCCCCGCACGCCCGCACGCACGGCCCGGCCCGCAGTGAGCATGGGCGCGGCGGCCGTGCGCTGGCACTTGTGTGTGCTGCTCGTCCTGGGCGCGCGCGGGCGGCTGGCGGGGGGCAGCGGGCTCCCAGGTAAGCCCTGAGCCGGTGGGCGGCGGGCGCTCGGCGGCGGCGGCAGGGTCCCGGCCGGGCCCCCAGCCCCGCGCCGTCGGGAGGGCCACAGCCCGCGCAGCCCCGCGCCCCGCCCTGCCTTTTTGCAAAGTAACTTCTGCGGCCGGCGCGGGGCGCCCCTCCCCGCAGCCCGGGCGGAGCGAGGCTCCCGGAGCCCGGCGGGGCCGCAGCATGGGGCGGGGTGGGCTGAAGCCCCGTGGGTGGGGGGAGTGTGAGGGCGGGAGGAAGAAAGAAAGCACGACGGCCCGCCGAGGGCCCCCCGCCATCCCCCGCTCCCCGCCTGAAGGTAGGAGGGAGTGGGGACCCCGGAGCCAGACGGGCTCTCCCCCAGGGGAGACGGGAGCGCGGGCGGCAGGAGGCCCAGAGGGGAGACCCGGAGGAGGTGAGCAAGGGGAAAAGGACGGACGCAGAGAGAAAGAGAAGGGGGAGGTGATAGATGGAGAGACAGACGGACAGAAAAGGAGGCACACAAAAGGACACAGGAAAAAAACCCCAGAGAAAGACAGACTGGAAGAGTGGAGACCAGAAAGACCAAAGAGGGAAAGGAGGGAACCGAAGGGACTAAGGAGGCAAATGAGCAGCAGGAAGGAAAAGGCTCAGAAGAGGGAGGTGTGAGGGCAGGACTAAGGGATGGGAAGGAAGAGAGAGAAGGAGAGGTGCAAGCGGAGAGGCACCGGAGAAAGAGGGGGGAGGACTGGGGGGAGGGAGGAGGCGGCGAGACAGAGGGAAAGAGAGGAGGATGGAGATGGCTGGAAAGCCATGGACAGATGGACAGACAGGAGGGGGAGGGCTGAGGGAAGACACAGACGAAAGGAGATGCATGGGAACCAGAGGGAGGGGAGCCCAGACATCGGACACGGTGAGGGGGTCCAGGAGAGAGAGGCAGGAGACACAGGAGAAGGGAACCAGCATCGAGCATCAGGCATGGGGCATGGTTAGGGCAGGCAGCAGAGGCGAGGTGGGAGCTCCCCACGGATTTCACAGGGACCCCGGCACTCCACCCCTTCCCCTCCTGCTCCCTCGGGTGTCTGGAGGGGGCTGTCCCGCAAAGCTGAAGACACATTCTCTCCTCCCACATCTGACCCTGTCCCATGGAGGAGCTTCCTTCCTTTCCCTCCTTGGAGGGAGGGGAGAGACCCTGCTGCGCTCTCCCTGGCTTCTCTGAGCTCCCCTGGCTGCTGTGTGGGGCTCCCTGGGGTCTGTGTTTGGTGGCAGGAAGTCTTTCCTGGGAGTTACACCCTGAGTGAGGATGCCGGGCCATTTAAACTTTTCCACAATTGGAGCCGAGCTGTCTTTCCTGTGGCCCCAAGGGAAACTGGGCCCTACTGCCACACCCCCATGTGTCTGTGGGTGTCTCTCCTGGGCTTTGAGGTCTCTCAGCCCTGTTTGATTGTTCCTGTATGCGCCTGTCTCCCTCTCTCTTGGTCTCTCCGCTGTGTCTGTCTGCACTCCCCAGCCCCAGCCCCACCCCATGGAAGCCTTGTGCTATGAAACCACTAATGTCAAACAAGCACCTGTGATGGGAGGACTGGGCTGGGCTGTCCAGGCCAGGACTGTGGCCAGGGAACCTGCAAGAACCCATGGCCTGTGTTTCCTCTCCCTCTGTCCTCGAACTCGCGTGCCCTCTCCCCAGCACCCACCGAAAGACATGTTTAAAAGGTGTGTTGGGAGGTTGCCCCCACTGCCTCTTGGCTAACATCCATCCATTTCCATCCCACGAAGACACGTACCTACGTGTGAGACTGGGGGCACAAGGGGCTCCAGGGCCCCAGGCAGTTTACCTCCCTCATCACTGTGCACTGACCCTTGGGAAGTGGGAAGAGCTGTATCTGTGATCCATTGCCCCTGCTGGTCCTGTCTCAGAAGCGGCCCCAGTCCTCTCCCCCTAGAAGGGTGCACATTGACCCTCTCTGGTCTCTGGCTTCCTGCCCTTGAGGCTGTGCCACCCCTCTCGGGGGTCCCTCTGTGGTCACTTCTCCAGAGGGGGATGTTCTGCTGGCCCGATGTTCCTGCTGGCCCCGGGCCATCTGATGGCTGGCTCTGGTCTCCTACACAGACTGCCTCCTGGCCCCCGTTCCACCTTCCTCTGGGCAGCTGTAGAGGATGGGCTGCTCACCTGAGCAGATACAACCACCCTGAGAAGGGATGCCACCTTGTGCGTGTGTGTGTGTGCACGTGTATGTGCGTGCACGAGCATGCAGGGAGGTGATTCTGTTGTGTTTCTTTTTGATGCCTCTCTTCCTTTAGGGGCAGACTGGGGCCTTGGGGACTAGGGCACAGGAGGAAGAGTCCTGGGCGGGGGGCAGTGGTTCTCTCACAGAGGCCCCCATGCATATTTAGAGCCCAGAGGCTATTCAGGGGAGTAATTCAGAGTGGACAGTCTTGAGGGCCAGACAGGCTAGGGAGTGGCCGGAGGCGTGAAGAGAGGAGGACATTCCAGGACTTCCCCAGGCTTGCCCCTGGGGGACTGCCCTCAGGGTGGCTACTGAGAGTTCCTTGTGCTCCCCTCTGGGTCCTTCTGTCTGTCTGTCATCCATCTGTATTCTATTCTTGGCTGGCTGGAAGCAACACGGCATGTAGCAAAGCTCTGGACCTGCTTCCCTGAGGCGGAGTCCAGGCTCTGCTCCTAATGAGCTACCGACCTGCAACAGGCTTCTCTGGGCCTCAGTTTCCTCATTTATAACCCAAGGAATGAACCTAGATTACAGCTATGGTTTTCTGGCTGTGCTGTTCCGTGCTCTGAGGGTCCTCTCCCTGTCTGAGCTGTGGGGCGGGGGGAGGTGTATACACAGATACACAGAACCTATTCTACATTATTTGCCCAACAGCTGTCCCAACTGAAGGTGTATACGGGTTGCTGCGGGCAGGAGGTGGGGAGTGCCAGGAACCCTCACAACCTAACTTTACCTTGGGTTTGGAAGTTGGAATAAGAGAACCAGGACTGAACCTAGATTTCCGAGGTGGGGAGACTGGGGAGACCGGAACCGTTCCTTGAGGCCCATTAGCCCCGTCGAGGGCATGGGTCTCTGGAGGCCAGGTGAAGAATCCTTTGTTTCCGCAGCCTAGGGGCTGGGTGGGGCCCACGTTCAGATCTCCTTCGTGGGCCTGCTGGCCTCTGCTTCGTGGCCTCTGCTCAGTGCGCCGTGCTAGCCTCCATTTCCCCATCTGTAACCCAAAGGGGATGGATTTAAATTCCTCCGAGGACGCTTCTGGCTCTAAATTCTAGAATAAGGAGAGTGGAGGAGGGATGGAGAGATGCTTTGTGAGGAGAGCAAGACATACAGAGAGGCTTCTCCTCGCTCTGTTCCTAAGCCTCCGTTTTCTCATCTTTTTAGTGGGAAGAGTAGCTCTACTTACTGGAATTGTTGTGACAATAAATAAGACCCGGCATTTTGGTAACGTTGTGCTTGGCACAGAGTAGCCACCCCGAAGATGCCACCAGCCACTGCCTGTCACACCAGGTGGTCATATGATGGCTGGTACTGTTAATTACCCCGGTGATCGATGGAAGGGCGAGGGACAGAAGGAACTCCCTGCCCCGCGCTAGCTGCCCACTTCTTCAGGCCACACCTCACTCGTGGTTCTCCCTCCAACAGGGGCCGTCGACGTGGACGAATGCTCGGAGGGCACAGACGACTGCCACATCGATGCCATCTGCCAGAACACGCCCAAGTCCTACAAATGCCTCTGCAAGCCAGGCTACAAGGGGGAAGGCAGGCAGTGTGAAGGTGAGCCCAGCCCTCCAGCCAGACCCGTGGGCGCCACCGTCATCGCAGGCGGCCTCTGTCAGCCTTGGGAGGGAGGCTGCGGGCTTCCCCGGGAACCTGTGCTGCTTCCTTGGAGGAGATATTTGGAGTCGTGGGGCGCTTAACTCTCCCTGGGTTTGAAAGTTTGGTTTGTTTCTTTTTTTTAAAAGAAATTGAAATGGAGCACTGAGTGATATATTTGTCCATCTGTCCCTGACTGGATGTGTGTGGGGTAAAGGCCTGGGGTGACCCCACCAAGGTCCCTAGTTTCAAATCTGAAGCTACCCGTGTACCCTGTGTAGCTTCCCCAAGGGAGCTGCGCCATAGCAGCCACAGCGCCTGTGGGGCTGGCTCAGGTCTTCTGTCTTGAGGATGAGAGCTTGGGCAGAGACTGGTGGCTGTGTGATGTCCGTCTGTCTGTCCAGCCTTCCTTCCCTGCACCTGGGGTGCTGGTTTGACCGTGTGGCCTTCGAAACCTCCTCCCTAGCAGGCTGAAGGTTGGAGGGAAGAGCAGCCTCAGCTGTCTTCGGAGCCAGGACTTTCCAAGCCGGGCAGAACCTTTGGGAACATTTGTCCCGGAGGGTCTGTGTGGTCATTCTGCCTCCGAGGGTCTGGGGCAGGGCCCAGCATCAGGGGGCTGGAGACAGCTCTCTACATGACTGCTGTGCACCCCTGAGTGAGAATCAGGATTCAAATCTTCCCTGTCTGCCCCCACTTCACAGATGAGGAAAATTGAGGCTCAGACTAGAGAAGCCTCTCCTGCAGGGTGCCCATGTTTCACAGTGGCATGGCCAGTACTCGAGCCCAGGTCTCTTAATTCCCACCCAAGGCTCTCTCGCATCTCATTATCTTCTCTCTGAGCCCTGCCAGCTTCCTTTTTCAAAGTGTGAGATTCGCGTTAGGAAAGTGGCACCTGAGAACAAGGTGGGTGCCTCTTCCTTCTGTAGAAAGCTTTACAGGAGCTGGGTTTTGTAGGAGACGCGGCTCTGCCTCCTCGGGATGCTGACATTGTTTATCCATCTCATTTGTTGGGCATCTGCTTAAGGCTGAGTGCTGGACAGATGACACTGTCCTGGATCGCGCCTGGTTTGGCCACATCCCTGGCCTCGCTTAGGGCCCAGAAGCCGGAGCGGGGAGCTGGCGCCTACCCACGGACCTCTGGAAAGAGGCCAGGCTGGAGGCAGATAGAGCAGGCTGGCTGCTGGCAGGAGCCGGACGTTAGCTTGGTGGTTCCAATTGACACATGTGAGGCTCTGTGCAACTGTTTTCTGAACTTCTGCTCTGCCCTCTGGCCAGGGAGGGCCCAGGGTGACCCCCATCTCTTCCGGTTTAAGCCCCTGACCCAGCCTGTTCCTTCTCCAGCCCAGCTCCTTAGGTCGCCTCCTGCTGTCCCCTGCCCAGGATGCCCATGCTTTGTGTCCTACCTGTTGCCCGGAAGTCCTGCAGAGTCCGCTTCCAGCTTTCCAGTCTGCTTGAGCCCAGGTTGGGGGTCACGCTCACTGGGTCCGGGGGCCTGATGTCCTCAGTGTGAGGACAAAAGAGAACGAGGCTTGTGAATGTGCTTCAGGAACTGCCAGGAGCCCTGTCTCTCCAGCCTGGCTCTGGCCTCTGCCCTCACTTCCTGAAGCGCAGAAGGCCCTGTGCCCTGGCCACACATATATATACCAGGCCAGTCCGTGTTTCTGAGACCCAGCTCAGGCTTTCCCCCTTCTGGGAGCTCCTTTCCCTCCCTTAATGTCCTGGCTAATTCCTAATGAATCTTCAGGGCATCCTGAAGATCGAATGACACACTGTGTAGCATACCAGGGCCCTGGCAGCCTCAGTGCCTGGCTCACAGTAGGTACTCAGCATACAGTACGTGCTCAGCATACAGGGGAAGGTACCATTGCTGCATTGTCATCATCGTCATCATCTCTTCTCACTGCCTCTCACAGTGGTTTTAGGCTCAGGTGACATCATGTATGGTGAAGACCTTTGAAAATCGCCCACTGCTGTATACCTCAGAGGCGATAGTCATGGTGCAACCTGGTCCCTCCCCTAAAGGAGCTTCAAGCCTAGTTGGGGTGCATGAGCTGAAATGATGTATCAGTGGAAATTCTCAAAGAACCGGTGAGGATTGTCCGGGCGGTAATTCAGCAGCTGTTGAGCTGCCGTGTGCACAGCCTGGAGAGCAACCATCAGGCACCGAAGGAGGGGCCGTTTGGCTACTTGCTCCCGAAGCGCTCTGTGGATGAGCGCTGCTGTGCGTTCTGGGGACCTGAGTGGACACTGTCCCACTTGCACTGAGGTTTTCTCATCCTGGGGGACCCACCTACAGTCATCGGTCAGAACCGGTGGAGCCTGCTGGAGGGCTCACCCGTGGGCCATCAGACCCCCACTGGCTTCCCCAGGAGGACCTTGCAGAGATTTCTGGAGGCCATGGAATCTGGAGGGGCTTGCAGGCCCTGGGCAGTAGTTGCCTAAAGGGCCTTGGGGATCATCCAGGTGTTCACTTCCTGGCTCACAGGTGGAGAAATGGAGGCCTGAGAAGGCAGGGGTCTTGTCTGAGTTGGGACTAGAGCCCAAGTTTGGTGGGCCCGTTTCTCCACGCTGCCATTTCTGCACACAAGTATTGCTATCTGGGGCTCTCAGTTCTGAGAAGAGGGAATGAACGGTCAGTACTCAGTTGAACATAGTGGTTAAAGCGTGGCCTTTGGAGCCAGACTGCTTGGGTTTAAATCCTGCCTGTGTAGCCTGGACAAGTTGCTAGACCTTCTTTTGTTTATTTGTGAAATAGAGATGATAATAGTCCTCCCTAATAAAGATGGTGTGAAAATTAAGTGAATTAATGTATATAAAGCATGTGAACAGAGCCTGGCACAGAGGACACACCGAATGAGCGTTAGCTGCTGTTACCGTGATGGTGACGGTGGTGACGGTGGCACCAACGGCGATGTTAACAGTGATGATGCTGCTGATGGCGATATTGATGAAGATGAAGTCGTTGATGATATCGATGATCGTAATGTTGTCCAGTATATGAAAGGGGTGAAGCCTTGTCTCTCCCACAACTCCCAGCTGGGAAATGGGGTGTTCTGGTTCATTGACTATTCGGATAAACCATATACATATATCCATATCACCACAGAGACGTACAGACGTGTGTGCCGTTCACAGATGACCGTTTACCAAGAATGTGCAGTAAAAGATACGAGTGACAGAAGGCTTTCCTTTGTTCTACTGACCCTACTCCAGGATTGGCAAATACCATGCCGCCACCTTCTCCCATAGCAGACATCAATAATCAATCACCAGGCCCTCCAGACAGCCATTTCTACTTTAGATGAAACCTGCTTTCCCTCCCTGGGCCCCTTTATCTGCAGGTCCTGAGCTGGTGTGGGTTTTGCAGAGCCCGGGGTTGGAGTCTGGGGGGAAATGAGTTGCCTTGTCCTAGAGATCTGATAGACTTTGCTGTTTACCGTGGTAAACACAGAGGACAGATTCTCAGCAAAGCAGGTCCAGAGAATGTGGCTTCCACAGCCTCCCTAGCTCTCCCCAGGATGAAATCAGCCTATGGCCCCGCCATGTGGGACTGAGTGAGCCTTTCGTACCCTTCACTGTGTTGCCTTGAAACTCCTGCTGCTTGAGGAAAACCCTTTAGGAAACCTGGCACCTGAAGCAGCCGGAACCCCCTTCCAGGGACGGTTTCTCACACGCCTTCAAGGCCATCTTGCCATGTGGCCAGTTCACGTGTGATGGTGATGATGGGGCTTCCACGTGTGCAGCCACTGTGTGTCCAGGGAGCAGCCTGGGGCCACATGTGGTCAGCTTAACGCTGGCAAGGGGCTTGCTGTAGCCAGAGTGAGGTGCCTCAGACATTGTGAAAGACCCTGAGCAAAGCTGAGGATAAATCAGTGTTTTCTTGATGATCTGCATTTTGACAGGATCTGAAGTTGCTTGAGGTAAACTCATGGATGTGCAGAGCTGGAGTGAACTCTACCGGGCCTCCAGGGCAGCCCCTGGGTTTTACAGATGACCGCCCCATTTGTTGCCCTCCCCAGGCCCATACAGCCCTCGTTTAGCCCACGTCGCACTACGTTGATGTTTCCCATGTGTGGGCTTCTCCAAGGCAGGGTCTGTCAGCTATGACCCCTAGAATCCAGCACCAGGCCTGGCACAGGGCTTAGAAGGCCTCTGTTGGGTGAAATGGTAGATGGATGAGTCCCAGCGGTCACCTCCTCCAGGAAGCCTTCCCTGATGCCCCAGACAGGTCAGCTGTCACCTGTAAGCATCCTTCCTTCAGAGCTCCTGTCACACTGGGTTGTGATGACCTATGTGACTTCACTCAGGGTTGGGCCCAGAGCTGGTGTTGGTGGGCAGTGAATGACCCTTATCAATCTCTGGGATATCAGGAAAGGCCTCCCAGAGCCTCCCAAGCTTTGTGGGGCTTTTTGTTTTGTTTTTAATTAATTAATTAATTTTATTTTTGGCGGTGTTGGGTCTTAGTTGCTGCGCGCTGGCTTTCTCTAGCTGCAGCGACCCCGGGCTACTCTTTGTTGTGATGCGGGGGCTTCTCACTGTGGTGGCTTCTCTTGTTGCGGAGCACGGGCTCTAGGCGCGCGGGCTTCAGTAGTTGTGGCACGAGGGCTCTGTAGTTGTGGCTTGTGGGCTCTAGAGCACAGGCTTAGTAGTTGTGGCGCACAGGCTTAGTTGCTCCGTGGTATGTGGGATCTTCCCGGACCAGGGCTCAAACCCGTGTCCCCTTCATTGGCAGGCAGATTCTTAACTGCTGTGCCACCAGGGAAGTCCAAGCCTCCCAAACTTTGAAGGTTTTATAGATGAGGAAGCTGAGGTCTGAGAGGGGAAAGGATTAGTCCAAGGATATCTGGTGGGGACCAGTGGCAGAATTAGGTTGAAGGAAATTGGGCCCAGGGAGGTCAGTCTCTAACCACATCACCCAGCTGAGAGACGGCAGGGCCTGGATTCCAACCCAGGTCAGCGGT